AAGATATAAAATTGATTAAGGCGGTTTAAATGTACAATTTATAAATGAAATCTCAATTAAAAGGAAAAGCTCAGGATATAAAATAACATAAAATTGAGTTACAAATGAAAACATTGTTAGAGTTGATAAATAAAAGATATAAAAATATTTAATTGAAAATTTTCTAAAAAGGATATCCGACCTTTGCCAAAAAAAGAAAAGAACTATCAATAAAATATGATGACAAAGGTACGAATAAAGCCTTTAAACAACCGTTTATCATTCACATATTCGTCTTGGCATCCATTGGCGGAGGAACCAATATAACATTGCCGTTAGTCAACTCTCTCTTAAATGTATTAAGATTCTGTGTAAATCTGTCTCTATTTTTAGCAGTTAAATTAAAGTCTACATCTTCCATAAGAGTTTTGATAGCCTAATGTGATAAAATTTCAGTAAGTTTTCAAAAAAATAATAAAAATTTTTTACAGTAATATAACTTGAACCATAATAACCTTTCTCAATGCCTCTCTTCTTTCAGGTAATTGGTGTTGCAAAATATTTTCTGTATATTTATTAAAGTACTTTTATAAAAATAAAATGTCAGTTTTACGAAAAATAAATAAATTTTTACAAAAAAATGTATATTGTCTTACATCTTGGTTTAACAATATTAAACATAACAGTGGACGTGACAATGACCATTGATTTTGTCTGTCTTCAAATAGAACCACATTGAAATTTGCTATAAACAAAGTAGGTAATACGGTAGGATATTCATTTAAATATACAAGAAGCCAATGTTGCTTAGGCTTCTGCATGGCAGACTGTTGAACCACAAACGTACATATATGGTCAATAGCATTGCATGCAGAAGAACATGGAGCTCCATGTTTAATGTAGAATCAAGGGCAATATTGAATAACTTAAAAGCAAAAAATACACATTTAAAAGACTTTAAAGGATATCAGGTTGTTGAATACCCTCCGCGAGAGCACGCATAATGTACAGAAAAACGTCCGAATCCATGCTTGGTAATGCCATCATATATTCATTGGTAAAGGTATCCAACCAATCAAACAATGATTTTGAGAACTTTGGATATGCCTAGATCAAATGTTAAATGAGACTCAATGTATTTAATAACTATTTAAGTGGTATCAACTGCAAATAAAAATAGTTACAAGTATGTCTTCAAGTGGCACGCTGAGCATCATTTCAAAGGATGTTTTTAAGGCAACTTCTAAAGCGGTGTCACCATATAATGCAAAAACTCCAAAATTGACATAACGACCAGCGAAAGATTTCGTCAAAATATTAAAGCAAATAGAAATGCCCTTGTATCT